TCATTATTTAAATAATTTCAAGGGAAAATGATTGGAAACCTCTAAACCTATATTTCTAGGAAATTCTGATCCCTAAAATCGGCAGCTTTGTAAAGCTCTGGAAAGTTGTGATACATTGACTTTAAACTAAGGTTTAATGTAAAATAAGTGAATTATGACTTCATAAAATGTGGGCTTGTAGTGCAGCGGTATAGATGGAAACTGTTTGTTACATATATGAGCGCTACACAAAGTCTGCTTGTGTATCCCTGTGGAGTCAGGCTGTCATCACACACTGTGAACTTATAGGCTCTGACACTGGGAACGGCCTGACCTACTTCTGCCTGACCTGGGAACACTCCGCAGGCTGACCCGAGTCTCACGCCAACGCCAATGGCATCAGGCGAGAGAAAAAGAGACAGTTTATCACATCTAGGCTAATCATACATGATTAAAGGCTCAAATGAAAGAAAAGAAAGCATGGAGGTCAGCAGACACTCTGCAGCACTAACGCCATGTTCAGAGTGCACACGGCTGGCCGAGCAAATGGAGAGGAAAGCCAAATCAAAAGAGGAGAAGGCTACGAGGGGCATTTCATTCTTCACCATCTGTACATACCTGAGAGAAACACAGGTCTTACTAACAGCAACATCTACTTTCAAAACACAACAAAGAAACTAGAGAGGGGTCTGAAGCGGGAAAGGGACTGCGCTGAGGAACATTACACTTGGTGATCTTAAATGACTTTTGGAGCCAGCCATATAAAGTCAGCCCGGTTATGTGAGGACAAAGAAAAGGCACGTGCTGGGCTGCAACCAAGTACTTCCATATGGGTGTTGAGTTCACTGGGTCCAGGTGGCACTGGGAGCATCACATGTAGGCAGGGGCGCCGCCAGGGACTCTGGGCCCCATGGAAAGATAATCACATTGGTTACTTCAACATTTTTTCGTCCTAACTGTTCACCCCCTTATGGCGGCCCTGCATGTAGGTCCTGCATGGACCTACTGCCCCCCCGTGGCCTGGAACGTGCAGTGCTGCAGGAGTCCGGCTGCTGAGCTGATACACAGGGGGGGGTTACATAACAGATACATGTTCATGAAACTACATGTTCTTCAAAGACATCATTTCTTTCAAATGAATACATTTCCTGGTGTTTCATATTTAGCTTTTAACTTGACACATGTCCTTTATTATCAATCTGAAAATGGAACACAAAAAAGTAGTTGTATATATATAAAATGTATTATTCAGTCTATGCCCACTGTATACATCTCCCAAGAGCTCCTTCAAATGTAGGGAAGCTGTGTAGCTGTAGTCTGAGGAAAACGTCTTGTCCCAGCTGCTAAAGATTCACCATGGAACAGAGGCAGCCACTAAAGACCCCTGATAACCCTTTGGTCATCCGTGTAGTTGGACTTAATGGTGGGGAGGGGGTCAGGTCAGCTCAGAGCTGACGGGAGGAGGATCCATGGAGGCCAAACGTGTCCCAATACAGAGAACTAACCGGTTTATTATGAAGGATAGGACTTATTTGCTTCTAGGTACTTGAATTAAACTTTTTATAAAGAATCAGGTATGAGGTAGTGAAAACTTAACTTCTTGATTCCAAAGGGTTGCGTAAAGGAATAAGTGTGCAACTACAGCTTTTATAGACTTTTTAATGAATGTTACCACCCAAGCGAGCTCCATGGCTGCACAGGACTCTGCACTCTCATAGATTTAGAACCCTATGAACCTCTAATCAATACCCAATGAATGACCTTCTGCACGTTAATGAAGATGGTCATGGATTTTAGAGAGTCAAGGAGAGAAAAATGTACTTTCTCATTTTTAGATATTAAAGTTGATGTGGAGTCATCCAAAGAACCTGAGTTAAAAACAGCTGTTGCAACTCAACTATTTGGCCCCTGACCTGGGTTTTTTGGTCACTGAATGGGGGTCTCTGAATTCCCACCCCTGTCAGGGCATTTACAAGCCCAGGGAGCCATGCCTCAGCCCCCCATGACCCCCGCGTCACCCTTGCCCAATGCATGCACCGAGTCCTCTTGGCAGGAGAGCAGGGCAGCGAGTGGCCGGGCCGCGAGCCCACCTCGTCAAGTTTACAACCCAATCAGGCTCAGCCTCATAAATCCACACCTCCTCCTGCAGCACGCAACAATGCTGGCCATTCACTGTGTGTGCAGGTTTAATAGTTCCTCTCCGGCTTCCTTCCACTTCTTAGCGACCCCACCCCACCTCCTTTCTCCTCTCACAACTTTATAGAGGGAGCAGTGAGAAAGCCCAGGCCGGAGCAGAGCTGCACACAATCAGGTCAGCGCAGAGTCACGGCGAGGTCAGTGCTTTCTGAACTATGTCCGACCTATGACCCCCCCATGGTGCCACCTGGTGCTGAGATGGCAGCCAGGGGAGTCCCGAGTGAACTTCGCCTGAACCTGGAACTTAACATTGGACCACTGCCTCACCCCTGGCCCTTTGCTCCCTGTTTCCTCCGGACCAAGAGCCGCACATTTCTAAAATGTTTACATCTGACATTTTAGCATATAACCATGACGAGAGCCACTTCTGCTGATGGAATGAAAGATGCAGCTTTTCTTTAGAGGTAATGTTGTCATCACCCACATCTAGACAGACTGAGGATATCATATGTAAAATAGAAAACTAAAACATGCACTTTTCTACCCAACGCAGGAAACAATTAATAAACTCAAAATTAAACTCATACGCACACACTTTTTCCACGTTATTGCCTAAGAGTCAGCTGCTTTATTATTATTATTGAGATTATACTCCCCTCTTGTGGATAAATCATTCAATGAAGTTACAGCGCGTTACTTAACCACCAGATGGAGCTACTATTCAACAAGTGTTTTATTGGCAGACTAGGGCTGCACGATTTGGAAAAAAAAAAAAAAAAAAACTAATTGCGATTTTTCTGACAAATATTGCGATTGCGATTTGCGATATTTGTTTTTAAGCGACCCAACGGAAGTTTATTGTAAAATGCGGCCATATCTCCGGCTAGGAAGGTCGTATCAACGTACTCCCGTCTCTAGCACCCCCGCAGCCCGAGCTACGAGTGAAAGAACTAAACTTACATGAAACTTCCGTTGGGTTGCTTTAAAGTCAAGCTTCAGTTTAAGATTCACCCTGTAATACAGCGTTTCTCAAAGTGTGGGGCGCGCCCCACTGGTGGGGCGCAGAGATGTGATAGAACCAGCGGCCCACCAACGGCAGCGGCCCACCAACGGCAGCGGCCCACCAACGGCAGCGGCCCACCAACGGCAGCGGCCCACCAACGGCAGCGGCCCACCGGGAAAAGTCCCGAATCTCCCGATGGCCAATCCGAGCCTGCTCACACACACACAACTGAAACCAAAGTCATTTGCAGACATATGTAAAAATCTCTCATACACACATGTGAAACGCTCTCTCACACACACACAACAGCGTTGCAGTCGGGAAGAAAAGCAATGTGGAGCGGCACCTCACCACTTCATAAGGAGTTTAACCGTGACACTTTTCGAAATCCCGTTTGTGTCCCCCCGCTTTACAAATAGGCTTTTGTTTATTATTATCTTTTAACGCAAGCCATCATCGCCATGGAGGAGCACACAGCCTCTGTGAGCGAGCGAGAGACAGAGACAGAGAGAGAGAGAGACAATGAGAGAGACAGAGAGACGGAGAGACAGAGACAATGAGAGAGACAGAGAGACAGAGAGAGAGAGAGAGAGAGAGAGACAGAGAGACAGAGAGAGAGAGAGAGAGAGAGAGAGAGAGAGAGAGAGACAGAGAGACAGAGAGACAGAGAGACAGAGAGACAGAGAGAGAGAGAGAGAGAGAGAGAGAGAGAGAACACACCTTTATCTATATAATATAGCCCAGTTGTACAAAATAAAGTAAGAAATCATTCCAATGTGTACTATCGGACAGTAAACAGTTTAAAAGGGGAGTGATTAGTAAAATATGCATAAATAAAAAGAAAGAATGCTAACTAGGTAACATAAGATAAGAATACACAAGTTTAAATGATTTGTTATTGGTTGTGATCATATTCTAAAGATGTTTGGATTATTGAAAAGTATACAGCTCCCTTTCATAGAGTGTTGAGAGATGTATCCATAAATTCATGTTGGGCTCAAAGTGCACCAGATTGATGCTTTTAACTTCAATATTTAAAAAAAAAAAAATCATACATTTTCTTTTCACTGAAAACGGGTCCCACAGACCCAAACAGCACACAAAGGTTAAAGGTAAGCATATAATAATGTTAAAATGTGCTAAATATATACACTGCAAAAAAACAGAAAAAGATGAGTAAAAGTGGCTCACGACTTGTTTTATTTTTTGAAAGTAGCTCTCATCCTAAAAAAAGATTGGAGACCCCTGTTATAGAACGATACATTTGACCATTTTAAGCTTGGCCTACCATTTTATTGGAGCGGCGAGGAACAGGTGGGGCTTGAAAAGGCCCACCTGTTCAAAGTGGGGAATGACAGAAAAAGTTTGAGAACCACTGGCTTAATAGATGTAAAACATGTGATGGAGCATTACTAACCTGACTCAGATGGTTTGTTTCACCAAACCATCTAAAGCTCTATTGCAAGCCATTTGGAAAGGGCAGGCACTTTCAAAAGCACTTGGCAGGTGATTGGATCAATCTGTCCATCACCTTCTATCATGGGCCACTTCTGATTGATTAACAATGGCTGGTACATGTGGAGCACAGCACTTCTGATTGGTGTGGATGACTGACACACAAGAAGAAGAAGAAAAAATAAATAAAAATAAATTGTAATAAAATAAATAAAAAGTTTTTTTTTTAAATCGCAGGCTTTGCGATTTCATAATCGCACCATTTCAAATCGCGATTTCGATTTAAAATCGATTAATCGTTCAGCCCTATGTAATATATTGGAGGCAGTCAGTGCCACATGGCAACCCAGTGACTACAGCAGTTCACCTACATTCACTGAAAACCTACAGTTCCCATCTGAGTATAAATAAATGCTTTTCAACTCACCCATGCTGTCGTTCCGCTCAGACTCCAGTTGATGGTTGGTGTAAAAGCCTGGGGGAGGAGGGGCAAAGGTTAGCTGCTGGAGAAAGTCAGATACAACTTGTCAACACTGTAGACACAATAAACATTTGACAGTTTAAAGATACATATTACGTGGAGACGAGCGGCGAAATAAGAAAGGGGCTTCTTTCTATTCATATGCAATTACACAACACAAGTATGTGTCAGATTGGATCAGGAATATTTGAACAAACAATGCATGGCATGATTAACCAGGGCAAACAGGAGGATAAAAAGACCTTTCTGACCAAATATCTCAAGATACAGGAAGTAAACGTGGAACCAAAAGTCCCCTCTCCCCCACATCTGAGGCACCTTGAAGGGGCACTTTGGATTAGGGCTGCACAAACATCAACCATATAATATTACATGTCATTTGTTAGACGCTTTTATCCAAAGCGACTTACATACTTAATACTGTGGACAATCCCCACAGGAGCAATTTGGGGTTTAGTGTCGACATGCTGACTGCAGTGGGACTCGAACTTGCTATCCCCTGATTCGAAGTCCATCACACTAAACACCACTGAGCCACAGCCACCCGATAATAAGAACTGGATACAGCGTGGGAGCAGGGGTCTTGTTCGCATATGAGAGCTGCTCATTGCAAGCTGCTCATTGCAAGCCCCCAGGAAGTGCGCCGGACTCAGATGAAAATATTCGTGCTGGCCAAACGGCGGTACTACACTTTATTTAGGTTGCTGGGCCCGGAAACACTTTTTCCCATTGACTTACATGGGGAAAGAGTGGTCTGTAAATCGTTGGATAATTTTTTTTAAACTAAATAAACTACCCAGTATGAACACTTGTATAGCCCTTATTAAAAACATTCGTTCCTCAAGTTGTAAAAATGTGCTAATAACGTTATTCTGAGAGTTATTTCCCTCTGCATTATGAACGCGCATCTAACCCACGGGACCGCGCTGCCCGGCACGTTCATGTTACGTGTTCTGCACTATATGCGTTTATCTTTACCCATGGATGCACAATAAGAACGGACCACATCGCCTTACTGCCAGCCCACGGAGCTGTAATAATGGATATATTGCACATGTTTGCTGTAATTCATTATTATTAGGGCTGTCAGTCGATTAAAATAGTTCATCGCAAATTAATGGCACATTTTTTATCTGTTCTAAATGTACCTTAGAGGAATATTTTTCAAGTTTTTAATACTCTTATCAACATATGAGTGGACAAATATGCTTTATGCAAATGTTTATTATCATTTGAACAATGACAAATATTCTCATGAATATTAAACACAACAACCTCTGAACATTACAAATATTCGCCTCAATTCAACCTGGAACCTAATACAATAAAAATGGTGTGTGTGTGTGTGTGTGTGTGTGTGTGTGTGTGTGTGTGTGTGTGTGTGTGTGTGTGTGTGTGTGTGTGTGTGTGGTGTGTGTGTGTGTGTGTGTGTGTGTGTGTGTGTGTGTGTGTGTGTGTGTGTGTGTGTGTGTTGGATCGTTGGAGCTATGTGCAACTCAAGGCATATGCTCGAACGGGAGCTGCCTGGACGCTGCAATCATGTTGCGCACTATCCGCGCTGAGTGTGCTGACTTTTCGTACAATGTCCCACTGTCTGGCTTCCTGCATAAAGTCAAGTGCTCGTCGCAGTTGTGGCGAAATGTCGCTCCTCTGTTTTCATTTAAACGGCTCCATATCAGTTAGCGCAGCTAGCTAGCACCAGATGCTAACAACAACAATGCACGTAAGGTCTCTCTCTCGCTCGCTCGGGCCACACATACACACACCCTCCCGGTCCTCCCAACAGCCAGTCGGTGCCTGGCGGTGAGCGTGGAAGTGTGGTCTGCCACAAGCGGGCGGCAGGAGCGGGGCTGTCAGCATCAGCTTGTAGATGGTATTTTAAACTCGATGCGCTCTGAAACTACGGGGCGGCCGAGGAAAAAAAATACACATGCGTTAATCGCGTTAAAATAATTAGTGGCGTTAATTTTTTTTTGCGTTAACGCGTTATTAACGCGTTAACTTGACAGCCCTAATTATTATACTACATGGGCTGTATGATTACATCTTGTACCGTAAATGTTGTATTAAATAAAGTTAATATTACCGACGTTAGATTAACGTCCCTGTAGCTTCTTATTGCACTAAGAAGCTTATTGCACTGTATATATATATATATATATATATATAATAATTCTTTCATGCTAAATAAAGCTCTGTTGCTTGGATATCACTAGATCCTGTTACAGCGTAATATAAGTACATAACGATTGATGTGTACCAGAGTTCCCGTTAGCCGGTAATTACCGGACTACGACCGGTAAAATATGCTGAAGACCGGCAAATCTAAATCTCTCCGGTCAAAGTGTCGTTACAAATCATTTCCGCTTAGCGCAATACCACATCAGTTGCGCAACTTGCGCCACTTATGTGACAGACAAAAGAGTATGTGACAGACAAGAATAGTCAATTATAATGTCTAACACTTAATGTGGAGAAAGAGATGTCCTGTATGGGTTGATTGTGCGTTGATCTGTTGGTAATGCCTCGGGTTTCTGGTGGGCATGTAAACTAATGCATAATGCTGCGCTATACTTTGCGGCCTCACCCGGTTGCATAGCGACACTTATTGTTTAGGTGTCTTTTAATAAGCAGGTAGTCCTATCATTAGCTAGAACTAGCTGGATCTGATCGATATGGATATAAACGCGAGTGAAGTCTAATCTAACGGGAGAGAGATCAGCTGCTGCTGACGAGTCGACACGCAGCTCTGCATGATCACAGAACAAAAACACACACCAGGTTAGAATAGCACACGTAGCTATTTTAATGACCTCTCAAACTACCTAAACTAGTTATAGATATGTTTAGTTTTACTGTCAGGTCACTCATTACTGGATCCGCAAGCTGCATGATACTGACGGGCTGTCAGGAGAGGGAGCGCTCCGTTTATTATTCCCGTGTTGTTGTAAATTACTGTACACTTTTGAATAATGTAGTTAATCTACTATAATTAGTTTGTTTAATATCGAATCATATCAATTTGTTTTAAAGCACAATAAATAACAAAGAAGACCTTTGACCGGCACTTTTCTCATTTTGTCCGGAAGATTTAAACTTTAACGGACATGTTGACCGGCGAAAAAATATTCTAACGGGAACTCTGATGTGTACATCATAGCATAATTACTAGCTAGCCGCTAGCTGCTAACTGCCGCCTGGTTAATATCAAATCCATCATAATAACAAATCATTACCATGCTGTCATGAACGTGCGGTGCTGTTACGTGTACGCAAATTGACGTGCTTGATGTGAACGAGCATTTTGGTTAAAGTTGCGCATGCGCTATGAGCGCACATACGGGTACTTCTCAGGCATGCTGGGTAATCTGTGACGTTTCACTCTCTCAAAAGTTGGGCCATTTTATCATCATGCGCTAATGAGCAACTCTCATAGGAATGAATGAGGCCCCGCCTCCCACGCTGTATCCAGTTCTTATTATACATCCATGGCTCATTGGCGCAGGAAGACAAAATGGCCCAATTTTTTAGAGAGTGAAACATCAGATTACCCAGCATGCCTGGCTGTCAGAGCAGAAGAACCCGTATGTGCGCTCACAGAGCATGCACCCCTTAAGCTCCGCCCCCCGAGATCCCGCTCTCGGCTCAGTAGAATGAATGGAGACAGAAAATAAATCTAGATTCGGATTTTAGTGCATTTTACAACATTAAAAAGGACTTAATGATTGTAATAAGGGCAATAAAAGAGCTCATACTGGGTAGTTCATTTAGTTTAAAAAAAATGATCCACCGATTTACAGACGTCTCTTTCCCCATGTTAGTCAATGGGAAAAAGTCTGATACGGAAGATGCAGTACCACCGTTTGGACACTATGAATTTGTTCCTCAGAGTCCGTCCAGAGCACTTCCTGGGGGCTTGACATGAACGTTTTGTTGATAGCAACATTTCCATAACAGAGTAAGGGAAATATTCAGTAAATGCAAAATATGTTCAAATAACGAATGGGGCATTGTGGAGCTGCAGAGAAGTCCCAGCCTACAAATTGTATTTTACAGACTTTTCTTGTTGGGAAAAAAAAAAGAAGAAAAATCACACAATTACCATTTTTAGATTTTTAAACATTAATAATAAAGTTCCAAGAGTGATAATTCTCTGAAATATCTCAATATCAGTCAATATAATCACAATTGGGTTTTTTCTTCTTCAATCGTGCAGTCCTACTTTGGGCCTCAAATGCGTCTTTGTTATGCGCCTTTCACACCATCGCTTTTCCCTTTCTAGCTCCGAGCGGGAGCTTTTCTGGTTCAGCTCCGGTTTCCCTTTTCTGCTCCCGCTCTGTTCACACCGCCCAGAGCTGCCGCTGCTGCATCATGACGTCACCGTTTACGTGCCTGCTTCATAAAATCCAAACCGCGCGGAAATCCCTCACATCGACAACAACAACAATGGCCGATTGTATTGAAGCGCTGTTCGCTTTGGTTATCCTCGTACGAAACGACATGGAAGGCATCGGACGACTTTACAAGGAACTTTACAAACATCACATGCGAAATGCAAGACTTCTTTATGGTCTTCAGCATCAACGCCGAATCTGCCCCTGCCCCCGCCTCGACGTAAGAGAGACGTAAGCGACGCCGCCTCTTAGCTCCGAAGCTCTTGCCTCTAGACTGACAATTTTTTGGAGCTGGAAGTGAACCGGATTCCGGAGCTAAGAGGCGGCGCCTCTGCGGTGTGAACAGGAAAAACCGGTACTTTTCAGGCTCCAGTTCCGAGCCGGAGCTGATAAAGGGACATGAATAACCATGTTGGACTTTTTAGTTTTAAGGGGAAATAAAAGTTACCGGTGAAATGGTCATTAACATTTTCAAGTTGAAATGACTAAAGTCACCTAATGCTGTTCACAGGTGCCCAAACATGTAGCACAGAACATTATATAATATAAACTATTCTAAATAGTAAACAAGTTTAATCTCAATACAATTTGTATATGCATTTATGAGCAAGAAGTCCAACAGTGAAACAACTAACACACAGGAACACCAAAGAAAGGGGGGATAAACTAACAGGACAGGAGGGGTTAAACGTGAGCACCATCAGACTCTGGAAAGACATTAACCTTCAACAATTCTAATCACAATCTGAGTGATATCTTACAACTGTGATGGAATACTTAATCATAAATATGAGTGAATCACATCGGCAGGACTAAATTAGATTTGAATTCAAAGCCTGATACCATGTGACTTCTCTAAGGGTCTCTCCATAACCCCAGAACAACCTGCTGGCTTCATATTGGTTACCCTCTTGCTGTTGGAGCTTTATTTGAAAGCCTCTTTTTCCCCATCTCGCCTCCATCAGCAGCCTGGCCATCTGTGAGCGGCGTCTGGAGACAGCGCTCACTTACACCGCCCGGCAGCTCCATCACTCACATCCAGACGGAGCAGAGAGCGGGCTGTGGGGCGTCAGATCTCCCGCTCTGTGGCAGCGTACCACCCTGCTATCAACAGCTGGAGACCCCTGACCCGACACACGCCAGCTGCCCCCCCCACCAACCTCCACCCCTGCCCCACAGTCAACACCAGCATATGTTCTCCCTGGAGCATACAGCGACACACACATGCTCTGTTCCAACACACACGTGCCTCAGTCAGCGGCTCCTGAACAGACACGCACACACTTATATTGACGTATGAACCTCAAACACCCATAGACCAGGACCAGAGTCTGTTCGCATTCAAAAACATAAATCCATTTATTTTCACTGCAGAATTGTAGATAAACTATTTAATCCGTAATATAATGTTGACTAGCTAACAATTATATATAATTGTATTTTAATACTGTTTAACTTCTTCAGTATGTTTACCAACTGTCAGATTAGGACCATGCCAATGCTATACGCGTTTAAACCCATCTACTTCTTACCTGTTTTTAAAGCATGTTGCAGTTTTTTCTAGCTTACCTAAATTACAATGACCTATTTGATCAGGTCATGAGATATCCCTCTCTGAGCTTTCTGCCCCCGCCCCAGCCAACAATGGAGGTGAATGGTATTTCATTTTAGCAAGAATAATAGTCAATAGCGACACTAGCTTCTCTGTACTGAGGACTAAATGCTGACGTTGGGATCCTAACATGCTCACAGTGACAATGCTAAAGGATTGAAGAATTGCATATTGATAATCGTTTTAAAATAAAATGCTTTATGGCAAGCTCTCTGTAAAAAGGGGGCTGATCTTTCTGTACTTTTGCTGAACAGACCCTTGTATTGTAATGTTAAAAAGGTTTTCTTATATCTTCTATTCATTTGGAAAGTGAAGAAACAACTTGAAAGAAAAAAGCCATGTAAAGACTTCAAACTTGAAATAATCCTTAGTAATTCATCACAGTGGACACAGCTTCCATGGTCTCAGATGGGTTGGAGATGTGTGCTAATACTCTGCAGAGGACCCCACCCCCACAAGCCCTTTCTATGTTGGCTGCCTGGAAGATAACATCTCAAACACTATAGCATGTTTTTGGTGAATGATCAGCTCAAATGTTGCTAGGACACAGTGTGAGGGCACAAGTCAGTCAGTCCTACTTAACAACATGCTCCAGTTCTCTCTTCACCTCTTAAAAGTGGCATTTCTGGGATCAGGATTAAGCCTTGTTTAGGTCCATGCTCCACCCAAGCTGCAGTGTTGGCTGATAATGGAGCAGCAATAGAGAAGAATGGAGGTCCCACTGTGTGGTCTCTGTTACTAATCCTCATGACAGTGTATTGACTATTATAGCCTGAGGCCTGGAAGGCAGCAGCAGCCAATACAGCCGGAGCCTGCTCCGCTGTGGCCCATTGTGTGTTGACAAAGAAAGGCTGCATCTTTAACCTTTCACCTCTGAAACCTCCGACGCAATCAGCTCTCATCAAAATAACACACCGCTCTGTCCTCCGCCTGCCTCCTGCATAGAGACATGCCAAGCAAGCCCAATATGAGGATGTTATTATTTAAACCTTTTCTGCCCGTTACATTTGTGTACAACAACAACATGTCTTCTGTTAAGATGCACATGATCCATTAAAAGAAAGCCGAGTGATCAGAAAGAGCAAGCGAAAGGTGATTTATTCTCACCGATGAGACATCAATTAGAAACTGACAACAAGCCGTGTAGGACAGAGAGTGAATACACAGACTATACAGAGATGCTGTGTGAGAAACCAATGTGAGTTTGGAACATTGAACAGTATAAATCTATTCTAGTAGACCTCAACAATGGAATCATGATCAGTAGAAATGGCCATGACATGGGACCTTTAAGTGTTCTGTAGTTTGAGTTTCTCAATTTCACTGAGCTTTAGTTTAGTCTATATTTTAGGTTTTTCTACCATCTGAATTTAATTTAGCTGGCTCCAAGTATCCTTTAGATCTGAGGTAAACTAAGCTCCGATATTCAATGCATCTATACATCAATTATTTCTTATTTTGTTTCTCTGGTCAGTAACGGAATAAGTATTCTGCTACTTTGCAATGCTTTTAAGTTGAATAAAATGAAGAGTATTAAGTATGAATATATATTAAATAAAAGAATGTGGCTGCAAGTTGCTAAATTACCACACCAAGTAATTATCTGTAATAAAGAGTGACGTTACTCTTGTTCTTGGACAACGCTCATGAGCCTTGTATTTCATCCTTTTTCTTGACAGGTATAAAGGAGAAGAAGTCAAAGATAATGCACCTAAAACAACAGGGACTGGAAAGAACTCAGAATCTCTAATGATGCCCAAAACTTGACACGCCGCTGTGGTCCATAAGTAGCCACACCCGACGCTGAAACATATACTCACATTCCTTACTGGAAAGTGCCATCTGGCTGGACCTGTTGGAGCAGGACAGTGTGGAGGCTCCGTCTAACGTACAGTCAACAGAAGTACAGGCACACCCAGCTGCCCCCAGGAATCCAGGGCCTGAAGCCATCAGCAGTGCCCAGGAATTCCTCCAATGGTGATCCCCGCTCTCAGTCTGTCCTCGGCCCCAGATGGCGGGGTTCCGCATGGCCAGCGGAGGGCAACACAGCCTGTTATCTGAGCAGGTCAGCCCCTACATGCCAGCCCTGTTCTTATCTCAGCACCATCTATCACCCCCCCCCCCCACAGTGAGGGGGAACGATGATGGAGACGCAGCCAGGAGTCACTTTGACACTTCAGTGGCTGACTTTAGATGCCACAGTAACCTGGCTATTGGCCATAAGACCACTGAAGCCTTAGTGAGTTCAAACTGGTGCTGTGAACCTCTGACCCCCCCACTGCGTCTCCCTGTTACAGTGAATAAACCCATTCTGTCTCTTTTTCACTGAGCAGTAGGAATAGAGACAAGAAAAAACTATTTCAATGAGGTTATTAAAGTCTTGTTAACTGGATTAAATAAATCCAAAAGAGAATAAAACAAAGAACAACCACTTGACTAGTCCTCCCCACAGCCGGGGGGGCTACTTTGCTGGGACTGACCTACTGAAACCGTTGTTTTTCTGTACATAGCAGTCATTTCATAATAATGTTAAGCCATTGATATTTTACATTTGTGCTTCTTGATACAATCGAACGGGCAACCTAAACACAATCATCAACCTTTTTTGTATCTGACTCTTTACGACACCGTGACTGAATGAGTCACAATGGCTGAGCACAAGAAGCTCTGCCGAGAGAAGAATTCAACTTTAAAAAAAAAGGTTTTAAGAAGCCAAACTTCTCCCACAGCCTCTCTCACAGGGCATGGCTGATGCAGAGAGGACAGATGGGAAATGCTTTTTCACATTACAGTTGTGGTTTTTGTGACGTCAGCTTTTCACTCTAGAGGCGCGTTCACACCGCAGTACTTTTCCCAGTATAGTTCCGAAAATGTCCATTCACACCAAAAAATCCGAAACTAGAACGTAGTTCATGAGAACCTTTCCACCCCCTTTTCAGTCCCTGCTAGAGAGCAGGGACTTTCGTGGGAGAAAAAGGTTCCCATTTCTGATTGGACCTGTAAAACTCCCAAAATATTTTGAGAAGCCGCCATTTTATTATCCTCGCATTAGCATTATTAGCATTAGCCCAGCGCACCAACGGAGAGAGACTAACTTATGGCAACACAAAATAAAACATTGGAGCGGTGGAGATGAGAAGATGTTGGCGTTCTGGTGATTTACTCTGAAGGCTTCAGTAGAAAGACTTCGGGCGGCAGTATACGCCGTGAAGTTGTTTTCGGCCTGCCAGTAAACCCAAAGCCGAAGAAGAAGTGACGTCTGCGGCTTCATTTGCCTAATCCTGCCTCATGCACTTATTCCCGGCGTGAATGCGATCTGCTCTTTAGTTAATCAGAACTCTTACTAAATTCTCATGAACTAAGTACAGCAAAGTACTTGGTGTGAAAGCGCCTATTCAAACAATCAATCAGTCCCCCCTCCCCACTGTGAGATGGACGTGAGGAAGCAGCAGCCACAAATACATCATTGTTTTCACTCTGTGGCAGAATAGATGAATCCTGTGAAAGGTCAGAGCAGAGAAGCTCTCCCCTTTGGGCACCACTCCATCCAAACCCCCCCCTTAGTGGAGACTACCGAGCATGACCGTCAGGAGTTAAAACCAAGTGTAGAGGGGAGATGCTGTGATGCCACCACCTGGCACCATGTTGCCTTCAGTGGGTGTGAACAGGTAACCCTGAACCCCCCTCTCTGAGCCCCTCTCCACCAGGGGTCTGATTAGCAGTGTGTGTTTAGCTCAGCGCTCATGCTGGATATTACATGTGACACAATGTGAAGGAACTCCAGTGTTGGCTTCACAGGCCGCCGCGGTCGTCCCTATGACCTCTACACCTGACCCTTGACCTCTGTGTGCAACACGGCGCAGCACAGTATCTACTCTTCCACCCCCCCGCTGCTTCAGGCTGACAAATTAACCACAACTTTTACACTATCAGTTTTTCAAACAGAATACAATCTGCATCATATAAAAAACATACATTGTTTAATACATATAATGTAACCCATCTGCTCTGCAGACTGTTAAATCCATCATTACAAACACATTACTCAAATGTGGCTCTTTTTCTTTTTTCTTTTACTTACAGAAATAATGTGTTAAGAAAGGGAGTAAATCTCAACATTTAAGTAAATCAGCTCATTTGCTTTTCTGGAATAAGAAATCTAATGGTTTAATATTTGTGTATAAAGATTGAGTGTTTTAAGTTTGAATGTCAACCCTGCCTCCTGCTCCGCCCTGAACACAGACAAGACATTGAAACAGATCCATGGAAAAAATGTAATGAGCAAATAAGAGCAATTTTCAAAAGGTTGAACAATTCCATCACATCACAAAGATGCCAAACTGCAATCCCAAAAAGAAGTAACCGATTAAAAAAATCAATGTTACTTGTTTGGTGTATTCATGAGCATTACCTAGCAGTCGATTACTTCAAAAACTCTGACAAATAGTCAAATGGGCCAAAATGCATTCATTATGTATATGGGGCAGCCCAACATTTGGAAATACACTGTAAAAAATGACAGTGCATAATGATGTGCATTGTTTTACCTTAAGTATTTTTCTGAAAACAGGATAAATCATTGAGTTTAACTGACCCTCACTAACATACAGCTTCAGCTTATGTAATGAGAGCGATGGCCGCAGCCTTACAGATCAAACGGTGGGCTTCTATCAGGCACTTATCAGGGCATGTTATGTTAGGCTCATTAATGTACGTCTTTATCTGGGATGATCCCAGCGGACGGGCGGCCGGGCCGAGGGTCACACTGTGGTCAGAGGGGAGGGGGCTCCGTCACCGCCACTTGACACGCTCAAAGGAACAACTTCCCTTTCATCATACCGGGGGTCAGAGTTTTACTACCTCACAGAGCCAGCCAGCGCAGTGCACTGCGCAAACTCAGGAGGAGAGAGCCATCTGATGATAATCACCGCACAAAACAAAAACAAAGCAGGGCATCCTTCAGCTCATTTCACGGGGCCTCAGCACAGGGGGACATTTCATTTAATTTCATTTCAAACCTTTATTTACCCAGGTGTATCCCATTGAGATCATTGATCTCTTTTTCAAGGGAGACTTACTCAAGTAGGTTCCACATTAAACAATTACAATTTACATACAGTGGGGCAAAAAAGTATTTAGTCAGCCACCAATTGTGCAAGTTCTCCCACTTAAAAAGATGAGAGGCCTGTAATTTTCATCCTAGGTATACCTCAACTATGAGAGACAGAATGAGAAAAAAAAAAAAAAATCCAGAAAATCACATTGTCTGATTTTTAAAGAATTTATTTGCAAATTATGGTGGAAAATAAGTATTTGGTCAATAACAAAAGTTCATCACAATACTTTGTTATATACCCTTTGTTGGCAATGACAGAGGACAAACGTTTTCTGTAAGTCTTCACAAGGTTTTCAAACACTGTTGCTGGTATTTTGGCCCATTCCTCCATGCAGATCTCCTCTAGAGCAGTGATGTTTTGGGGCTGTCGCTGGGCAACACAGACTTTCAACTCCCTCCAAAGACTTTCTATGGGGTTGAGATCTGGAGACTGGCTAGGCCACTCCAGGACCTTGAAATGCTTCTTACGAAGCCACTCCTTCGTTGCCCGGGCGGTGTGTTTGGGATCATTGTCATGCTGAAAGACCCAGCCACGTTTCATCTTCAATGCCCTTGCTGATGGAAGGAGGTTGTCACTCAAAATCTCACAATACATGGCCCCATTCATTCTTTCCTTTACACAGATTAGTCGTCCTGGTCCCTTTGCAGAAAAACAGCCCCAAAGCATGATGTTTCCACCCCCATGTTTCACAGTAGGTATGGTGTTCTTTGGATGCAACTCAGCATTCTTTCTCCTCCAAACACGTCTAGTTGAGTTTTTACCAAAAAGTTCTATTTTGGTTTCATCTGACCATATGACATTCTCCCAATCCTCTTCTGGATCATCTAAATGCTCTCTAGCAAACTTCAGACGGCCTGGACATGTACTGGCTTAAGCAGGGGGACACGTCTGGCACTGCAGGATTTGAGTCCCTGGCGGCGTAGTGTGTTACTGATGGTAGCCTTTGTTACTTTGGTCCCAGCTCTCTGCAGGTCATTGACTAGGTCCCCCCCGTGTGGTTCTGGGATTTTTGTTCACCGTTCTTGTGATCATTTTGACCCCACAGGGGTGAGATCTTGCGTGGAGCCCCAGATCGAGGGAGATTATCAGTGGTCTTGTATGTCTTTCATTTTCTAATAATTGCTCCCACAGTTGATTTCTTCACACCAAGCTGCTTACCTATTGCAGATGCAGTCTTCCCAGCCTGGTGCAGGTCTACAATTTTGTTTCTGGTGTCCTTTGACAGCTCTTTGGTCTTGGCCATAGTGGAGTTTGGAGTGTGACTGTTTGAGGTTGTGGACAGGTGTCTTTTATACTGATAACGAGTTCAAACAGGTTCCATTAATACAGTTAACAAGTGGAGGACAGAGGAGGCTCTTAAAGAAGAAGTTACAGGTCTGTGAGAGCCAGACATCTTGTTTGTTTGTAGGTGACCAAATACTTATTTTACCGAGAAATTAAAAATCCTACAATGTGATTTCCTGGATTCTTTCCCCCCATTCTGTCTCTCATAGTTGAAGTGTACCTAGGATGAACATTACAGGCCTCTCATCTTTCTAAGTGGGAGAACTTGCACAATTGGTGGCTGACTAAATACTTTTTTGCCCCACTGTAATCCACATGAACAGGTACCAACAGCTTCCGATTGAGTAGCATCCAACCGAGCTTTAAAAACATTTAGTGGCACCAGATTGCTCAGTTTCCATTTTAAATTGCAGACTATTCCAGGACAGAGGAGCTGCACATCTAAAAACTATCTTCCCTAAGACAGTCCTAGCAGTTAGACATGTACCCTCCATCAAAACTATTACTATTAGTGCAGGTTTTGCACATGAGCATTAGCTGCTTCCATGTCGTTTATATTATAGTAAACTGAATATATTTGTGTGTTGCATTGATGTAAGACAGAACAATGTGAAAAATGCGATATTTTAAAATATGTTCCAACACTTTGCAGTTAAGCA